CCGTGCTAACTGGGCACATGTCTTTAGCTATGTAGAATTTGATGGATCTGTTATATCTTTGCAAGCTGGTTGAGTAGGCCGTTGCACTGTAAAGCGCGTCCTTAATTGATGACTGATGTGGTGGATGAAGTCGACGGGGCACGCTCGTGAACTGTCAACGGGGGGGCGGGGGAGCCTCACACAGGGAAACTGTGGACCTCTGTTGCCTGTCAGCGCAATTGAAATTATGACGTTTTAAAAAAGCGGTCCGGGCCGGCCGTCTGTGATTCTCCAGAACACACAGATGGCCAGTCCCCCCTGCTGCACTGTACTTTTTTTTGTTACACATCGGACTCCTTAAACCCAAAGTATTTCCAAACAGCGGAATTCGTGTTACCTTTCTTGTTCACCAGTTGTTCTTGTTCTGCCATCTGCCAGCGCTGAACTTGCACAACTATTGTCACTCACAACCTGGCCGAGAGGGCTTTTAGGGAGGGGCGAAAGCGCACGCAACAAAATAATCGTTTAATTTCGATTACGTTGTTTTCGTAATCGTTGCAAGCCAAAATTGTAATAGAGATTAAAATGTGATTAATTGAACAGTCCTACTTGGGCCTGAAAGGTTGGAAGTAAGGTTAGTGGTTACTAGTCTGTTTGCCAGCTCACAAAGTCCTAAGAATGTTGAGTACCCCAAAGTGTTATTTTAGAAATGTATAGCACATAGAAACTGCCAGATGCTAACTTGCATATATTGGGCAATTTGCACTATTAGCATTAGTGAGCATTAATTAGCATATGCAGACGATAGTTAAAAAATGGCTTGGCCGATTTGGACAATTTTTGGAGTAGTTTTGGGGGTTATTGAGGACGTTGAATCAATTTCTGACATTTTCAGAATTAAATATGGCTGATAGCCATTTCTGATCCTAAAAATTACAGAAAACATCCTCAATATACCTAAAAAACCACACCTAAATTGTTCAACACTGCTGGCAAGTAGACAATACCCAAGGAATGTGTCAATAAATCTGCAGGTCAATGTCCAAAAGTTTGAACTCCGTGAAAAAACTCACACTGGTCTGATGTAAGGCTGGCAGATCCAGTGAGGGAAGGGCAGGCTGCTCTTCTTCTCCTCACCTCCATTTCCATTGGCTATCTCCTCCTGTGCAAACACACACAGTAAATAACTCTCAGGTACTCTCACAAAGATAGCTTTGCAAACACAACATTTTAAACAGTGCTGCGTGCTGTTACCTGGCAACGCAGCTTCAGCTGTTTGCTGACATCGGCCAAACTCTCCACGGTCTTCATTTTGGCCATGTCCTCTCTAAGGTCCTGGTGGATCTGTAGCCTACACACACACACATCCCACAATAAATCATCTGAGTGAGACATTGTTGATTTTCTATCATACTGTGACCCTCCTACAGTGGTGACCCTATCTCATACCCCCTTACAACTTCACAAACTGGCACGGCAAGGTTGGGCAAAATGCCTTCATTTTCAACCGAAGTAGTTGTTGGAGCTATATATATTTATTATTTATATTATTTAATAGTTGAACCTTTATTTTCTTTTTCTTTTTGTTTATTGTAAATGTACCTTTGATTTTTGTGTAATTTAAATTAATTGACGGAGTTTTTTTATGCTTTTATTTTGAAGGCAGCTTTGGGAACCAAGGTGATTATGCATAATTGGAAACAGGAGGTGGTGGGATTAGCGCACCAGTGTGGGGATATGCTTTTTACCAGTGTGAAACACCGATAGGGTAAGGATGCAGGACAAGAAAAAAAATAAAGGGGTGTTACTTGCCGTACTTTTGATAATACTGGATTGGATTACACTAGCCTGGATTTGGATCATTCCGTGGGTAAGATTCGGTAGTTGGTGCCTCGGTTATTTATTTTGAGTTAATTCTCTATTTGATTTCTTGAAGTTTTTTCGCTGCTACAGGAGTGTTAGTTCTTACTAATGTCCAGTGGTCTTCAGTCAGTGCAATACAATTTATTTGCCGTGTCTAATGTGATTTATTTGGGTTCTTTTTAAAAAAAAAAACACATTAAGGTTTCCAGATGAATTGCAATTCACGTTGACAGCCCTAACCCTAATTCAAATGCATAACAAATGAAATGGGCTCCTATACTGCAGTAATACAGTATATACAGAACAAGTCTGCTATTTACTGTGTTCAGGTGTTCAATTACTCAATCACATTGTATTTATAGAACTCATTAATGCAAATGACACATTGTCTCAGGGGGCTTTACAATGTGTGGAGCTTACAACACCCTCTGTGCTTCCCAAGAAACCCCATCATTCATGTGGAATAATGTGTTATACACTGAACATGACAATAACAAATTACTTATAATCAGTGATGGGACTAACGCGTTACAAAGTAACGCGTAACTGTAACGCCGTTATTTTTGGCAGTAACTAGTACTCTAATGCGTTATTTTTTAAATTCAGTAACTCAGTTACCGTTACTACATGGTGCGTTACTCCGTTCTTTTTTTATATATAGTCTCGGCTCCCAGACGTTGGTGAGCGGCGCCAACAGCGAGGCGAACAGAGATGAGAACTGTACTTAAGTACAGTACTTGAGTAAATGTACTTAGATACTTCCTGTGTCACATGCGGAGACGTGCTGTGGGCGTGTTTGTGTTTACTAACAAGACTATCATGGCGGCAGTGTAGCTCAAGTCGTGTTTCTCCGCCTGGAGATATTCTCACTATTTCACTTTTGTCGAGCACAAAGAAAATAACTTTTTAGTTAAATGTTGTTATGTATGTGTCACATCAGGTGTGACTGTGCCTTTAAGATGGCACCGGGAGTTTTGGGATGTGTGAACCGGATACAGTTGTGTTGTTGTGGTGTTGTCATGGGGAGCGTATGGCAACAACGTGTTCAAT